TGGAATGTATTTTTCACAGGATTTATTTAATCTGTCAAGTGAGATTAGAATAAGAATGAAATAAAAACCTTGATTTATCATCAGCCGACATCACTTGAACATATTCATGAGAACTAAATACAAGTTCCTCGACTATTAAAATATTTTCTTCAATACTTCACTGTTGGCATTCTTCACGGCACTTTTTTTTTGGTAATTCCAGAAATAAAAAAAAAATCGTTTATATGTTGTCAAATTCCCACCGGCATGATTATTCCTGATAATAATTTGTATTTCGGGGATGAATGTTTTAACGGCTAATCAGACCTGACCCAGGAGAGTTTGGCATTGTATCTGCCTTAAGAATCTACAAGAATAGAATAAGCAGTATCATCTCCAAATTGTTCCATTGACAAAAAAGTAATGTTTAAAAAAATCAAGTTTTAAAAAAAATTTATTGAAGAATAAGTTCTTTGATTTATTCCTCGATAAGGATTTATATTTCTCATGAGATCGGTAAGTTGAAATATTTCAACGGTGATGTCTTTCAAGAATTCCATATAAGGTACTTATTTTTCGGAAAGGAATGGAGATTGGCAAAAAAGTGGATGACTCTTGATGGGAAACAATTAGAAAATGTGTCTGATTAAATTAAGAATTGTTCCATTTTAATCAATTAGAAATACCTGTGAAAATTTGAAGTGTTTTCCTATTTGAGTTTTCTGGTGACTTTTAATTCTTAAGTTAATGATTTCTTAAGCCCTTGGTGAGTTCAAACGACAAGAAAATATTCGTAGAAATTCCTCTAAAGAATCGTTAAATATTTAAGATAAACAGCTTTCACAAAATATTGCAAGAGCAAGCATAAATATGAATGTTTGTCGTTATTTAAAGAAGGAAGTGGGTACAAATGAAAAGATTTAAAACTGAAACCTTTTTCATTTCACTTAAAGTTACGTTAAACATGAAAATGTTATCGTCTCTTCTATTTTTCATTTTCTCACTGAAACTAAGTAGCGTCTCTCATATGTCTTTTCCGTCTATTCACGGAAGAGTCCATTATTTAAGATGTATTGACAGGACATAACGGTCGTGCTAACAATGGAACAAAGGGAAGGTCAAGATTGTGTTATGATAAATTACCCATACATGGATGGACTCTTCCAAGTTACAAGTAAAAGCAGGTACTGCTTTTGTCAGAAGTAGTTTTTTCCCCAACAGTCACCTCTGACAGTTCGGACTTGTATTACCGATTTTCGTTAATATATTTGTTAACTCAAACCCACTCTTGTGTCTTTATTATGGTCCCAACAATGCAAAACAGTTTGCTATACTGAGAAATGAAACATTAAAAATAGAGACACAATCATGTGCATTTTAGCCATTGAAAATAATATTAGCCGAGCCCTAAGGGGCCAACCCCCAAGCGATGCCTCTCCTTCGGGAGGAAACTGGAATCATTAGCCTACGGTTAAGGTGTTCCCAAAACGGGGAAGTGTCGAGCGGGCTAGAGCAATTTTCCCACGATACTGCAAGTAAACCCACTTTAAATTGACCTTGTGCCAAAATACGACGTGGGAGCACTGATAAATAATTTTCATTCAATTTTTCTCTCTAAATATACTTTCTTCTCTCCACACACGTGCACACACACACACACACACACACACACACACACACACAAATAAAGGCACACACATATTCGAACTTAGGGTCATTAATCACTGGTTAAATAATGTCGTGCCTAGTCAGGACCTAGATGAATAACCGCTTGGGAATATCAGGTGCTGTAAACTTGGATGTGGTGGTGATATAAAAGATAACAGAAATCAGAGAGGTGAGTTCAAATTCCAGTCGAGTTCCCTTGGAAAAGGTATTAATCGACTTCTTTCCCCCCATCTGTGGGTTAAATAGTATGACGGATTGGGCCCCAGAACTTTGGTTAGCAACCTAGTTGAAGAAAATCTCTGAATTCAAACCAGCCAGAAAAGGGTTGGCAATGCGCAGATGAGCTTCTTTTAAGAGTAGGTACTTCCACTAATATGGTGTACGTAAGGTTTAAAATGATTTTTTAAAAATAAAAAAGATTTCTTGAAGCTTCCATTTTAGCTTTAATTGAAAGCTAAAGGATTTAAAATTTTCTATTTCCAGTACATATATCCCATTAAAACTTTGGTGAATATATTTGGCATATTAACACAGAAATTAATATAAAAAATAAAATATTTACACAAATCTAGTATTCTGTTAACCTTACCTAGTTTTGTCACAGATTATCATGTACTATACCCGAACTCCATTTACTATTAGGCCAAAGATAGCCTGCCGTATTTTGACGGTCGACTAATACAGGTAAGTATAGAATTTTGAGCTAAAATATTGAGATGGACTTGTACGCTGCATATATATATATATATATATATATATATATATATATATATATATATATATATATATATATATATATATATATCGGAATATGCGTGCATAAGCGAAGAAATAGGTAAATCTCCAACACGGCTCTACAAATTTCAATTTTTTATTATTTCAATATTATTTTTCTTTTTCAGAAAGAATTCTTTGCGAACAACTTCACACGGACATTTCGTGTATCTTTATTTTTACAGTATAACCGAATGAATTGCGTTAGTATAGGAGAAAGAGAAAGCGTCTATATGTGTGAATTTGTATGCGGCACAATATAGTTGTTTTAATAGTACGTAAAATAGTACGTAAAAATTACAGCAGTCAGTCGCATGAAATAGGCAAAGAAAACTAAATTGTTACTGTTGACGCTTATAAACAAACTTAGCCTGCATGTTTTTCTTTTATGCGTCAATATCCCAAAGCATTTTTTGTAATATTATATACTGGAACAAATATGCGAAAAATGTAATTAATTGTTATTATTTCAACTTTATTTGTATAACAAACGAACGAATACCCTGGTCAAAGGTTAACTGAAAGAAAAGTTAGAGAACTAAAATTGATCCTTTTTATAAAGAAACATGGGCTCCACAAAAAAAAACAAACCAAAAAACAAATATTGGATTTATTAATCTCAACTTTGTTTAATAAAAGTTTTCCCAATTTACATCCGTCATAAGGAGGGGAAATATTGTTGATCATATTCTGAAGTGATCCTCAAAATTTTCGTATCTAACAGTTTTTAAACATCTTGAAATTCAAAGAAAACCGCGCTGTCTCGAATGACGTTGCTAATTGGTTAAAATATATGAATACAACGATTCAAATTATTTGAGCCGGTCACTGCAGCAAAGAAAGAATTAATTTCTGTCTGCCTCGGTTTTGTACAAAAAAAATAAGATTTCAGTGATAGTATTTAATTTATAGCAGTTTTCTACAATTCTGTAACGGGGGTTCACACACACACACACACTCATATATATATATATATATATATATATATATATATATATATAATTAGACGTCGAATTAGACGTATGAGGGTCAAACAGATCAGTTTCTAGGAAACCGACAGCCTGACAACAGCACATGAGATTTGATTATAGTGGTAAAGGTTTCGTGCAGGACCATCCACCCTTTTTGAAGGGCCGAATACAGAGACCTGGTGCACTACGTGCCATAATGTCCCTAAAAGAACCCTCCGCAGGTTTTGAATTCAGAGTTTTCCTTCTAGACCACTATTGTATTGTTGTATCCGAAAATGCTATTGAAAATGAGTTATTGTTTTTGGATAATAAGTGCGACATTACTGTAATTATTGAACAATATAGTTCATGCCACTTTGACAGAAAATTTACCAGTAAAAAATTCGTTCATCACCATATTTATATGAACGCACAACCTTTAAAAATTTAAAATCAAACTCAGCGTTGCTACTGCGCGCTCCAAAAACAATAACTCATTTTCAATAGCATTTTCGGATACAACAATACATATATTTTCGTTGTCCTCTTATTACTAAGAGAAAAAACAAGAACAACATCTATTCTATACCTGAAGATGTCTGTAGGAACAGACGAAAGCTTGTAGTAAAAATAAGAACTAATACGGCAGAAATTTATGGAAACAAGGATCAATTCATTCATAACGGATTCGGAGGTTTTTGTATATTATTTGAATTGTTTGCGATGATGGATTTCTCGCCAATTAAATCATTAACCTTTGCTTTTGTTTTTTGTGTGAATAATTCATGAATTTGTAAATTGATTGCACGTTTATCGTAATATATATATATATATATATATATATATATATATATATATATATATATATATATATATATTTTATTTATTAATCCAACAAATTTTTCGCTTAAACGTTATATTAGTGGATATTTGAATTTGAGTTGACACTAAGTTTATTTATTAAACATTATATTTATTTTAGCATTACGGCCTGAATATCAGAGAAATTGTACAGGGTGACCCCAAAAACGTGAAAATTTTTAACAATCCAATAAACTCAAGAGTGATGGAAGAAAAATATTTTATTTATAGTAATTGAAACCTTAAAACATGCCATTTAAGAAACAATAATGGAATTTTCATTTTTTAAAAATTCCGTCCTGTAGATAGCGTCCTTCTGTACGAATGCATTCTTGAAATCTGCTGTTGAGATTCCTCATTGACTGCTGCAACATCTCAGCTGGGATACTGTAAATTTCATCTTGAATTCTAAATGGCAAAATGTTTACTCGCTCAAGGTCACTGTCTCGCAGTGTTGCCACTTGCTCATATCCGGCAATACGCACTTCAAAAATTCCCGTTTTGGGGGGGGGGTCACCAATATATTTGGCCTGAATATTAAAGAATAGATGCGCCCTTTGTCATTATTCGAACCTGCCTTCCCCTAGCAGGAGAAACCGTCGTTAGATTCGACATGCTTTAGAACAACTCGGCAACGAACGGTCAAACAGTGCTTTAATTACGTCTTTAGAAATTACTTTGTCTATGTTACGATACGAAACTAAGCAGATATGAATATTTCGAGAGTCTTTTGAGTAGAACAAAAAGCACATTCAAAATAACATCCAGATGTTTGATAAAATCTATCTAATTCTGTTCATTATCTATCTATCTATCTATCTATCTATCTATCTATCAAATTCTCTTCATTATCTATCTATCGATTTAATTCTGTTCATATCTATCTAATTCTGTTCATTATCTATCTATCTATCTATCTATCTATCTATCTATCTATCTATCTATCTATCTATCTATCAAATTCTGTTCATTATCTATCTATCTATCTATCTATCTATCTATCTATCAAATTCTCTTCATTATCTATCTATCGATTTAATTCTGTTCATATCTATCTAATTCTGTTCATAATCTATCTATCTATCTATCTATCTATCTATCAAATTCTGTTCACTATCTATCTATCTATCTATCTATCAAATTCTCTTCATTATCTATCTATCGATTTAATTCTGTTCATATCTATCCAATTCTGTTCATAATCTATCTATCTATCTATCTATCTATCAAATTCTGTTTATTATCTATCTATCTATCTATCTATCAAATTCTGTTCATTATCTATCTATCTATCTATCTATCTATCTATCAAATTCTGTTCATTATCTATCTATCTATCTATCTATCAAATTCTGTTCATTATCTATCTATCTATCTATCAAATTCTGTTCATTATCTATCTATCTATCTATCTATCAAATTCTGTTCATTATCTATCTATCTATCTATCAAATTCTGTTCATTATCTATCTATCTATCTATCAAATTCTGTTCATTATCTATCTATCTATCTATCTATCTATCAAATTCTGTTCATTATCTATCTATCTATCTATCTATCAAATTCTGTTCATTATCTATCTATCTATCTATCTAATTCTGTTCATTATCTATCTATCTATCTATCTATCTATCTATCTATCTATCTATCTAATTCCATTTGCACCTAGCGATCACTCAACCTACATTGTTGCATCCTTCTCTCTAAAAACCAAAGAGAAAGAACACAGAACAATAGAAACGCACACACACTTACATACACATATACACGAAGATCAGAGAGAGTGGCAGAGAGAGAGAGAGAGAGAGAGAGAGAGAGAGAGAGAGAGAAAAGAGTGAATGAAAAAGAAAAAGATAAAAGGAAAGGATGAAACAGCGGTTAGATGAGGTCTGCAACAGAAATTACCTAATCGTAAGATAAAAGAATTATAAAACACTTTGAAGTTTTCAGAATGCAACTCGCTATCTTTGGCGTAATAAGAAAAATAAACCGTTTTCTTTTTGAAGGAATCTCAAATGAAAGGTAAGAGCAAGAAAAAAAATCATTCGACAGAATCCACTATAAAAACTTGATTGACTTTCAGAACTCTTATTTTTCTTCAATACCCAAGAAGCGGCTTCACCCGTTACTTTCCACAACCAACTGTCTTCCCGTTCCAAGCTTTTACGCCTACTCTATTCACGGATGAAGAATCCATACACTCACTACTTGAATATTCTGCGCTAAGCCAGTGTTCGCGCCTGGTTAGGAAGCGAGGATTTTCAAGGCTAACTTTCAAACGACGCAGATCTTTTGATCGAACTGGATTCGTTGCGCCAAACCCGTGTAGAAATATCTAAATTGTTAGCTCGAATAATCAAATGCTTACAGACTAAAAAAAAAAATGGCGAATATTTACCTATCGTCGACACCAAGTAAATGCTTATAGACTTAAATATAAACGACTATTATTTTGTATCCTTGAACTAAGCAAATGCTTACAGACTAATAAAACAAATGGCGAATATTTACCTATCGTCGACACCAAGTAAATGCTTATAGACTTAAATATAAACGACTATTATTTTGTATCCTTGAACTAAGCAAATGCTTGCAGACTAAAAAAGTAAATGGCGAATATTTACCTATCGTCGACACCAAGTAAATGCTGATAGACTTAAATATAAACGACTATTATTTTGTATCATTGAACTAAGCAAATGCTTGCAGACTAAAAAAGTAAATGGCGAATATTTACCTATCGTCGACACCAAGTAAATGCTGATAGACTTAAATATAAACGACTATTATTTTGTATCCTTGAACTAAGCAAATGCTTGCAGACAAAAAAAGTAAATGGCGAATATTTACCTATCGTCGACACCAAGTAAATGCTTATAGACTTAAATATAAACGACTATTATTTTGTATCCTTGAACTAAGCAAATGCTTGCAGACTAAAAAAGTAAATGGCGAATATTTACCTATCGTCGACACCAAGTAAATGCTTATAGACTTAAATATAAACGACTATTATTTTGTATCCTTGAACTAAGCAAATGCTTACAGACTAATAAAACAAATGGCGAATATTTACCTATCGTCGACACCAAGTAAATGCTTATAAACTTAAATATAAACGACTATTATTTTGTATCCTTGAACTAAGCAAATGCTTGCAGACTAAAAAAAAGTAAATGGCGAATATTTACCTATCGTCGACACCAAGTAAATGCTTATAGACTTAAATATAAACGACTATTATTTTGTATCCTTGAACTAAGCAAATGCTTACAGACTAATAAAACAAATGGCGAATATTTACCTATCGTCGACACCAAGTAAATGCTTATAGACTTAAATATAAACGACTATTATTTTGTATCCTTGAACTAAGCAAATGCTTACAGACTAATAAAACAAATGGCGAATATTTACCTATCGTCGACACCAAGTAAATGCTTATAGACTTAAATATAAACGACTATTATTTTGTATCCTTGAACTAAGCAAATGCTTACAGACTAATAAAACAAATGGCGAATATTTACCTATCGTCGACACCAAGTAAATGCTTATAGACTTAAATATAAACGACTATTATTTTGTATCCTTGAACTAAGCAAATGCTTACAGACTAATAAAACAAATGGCGAATATTTACCTATCGTCGACACCAAGTAAATGCTTATAGACTTAAATATAAACGACTATTATTTTGTATCCTTGAACTAAGCAAATGCTTACAGACTAATAAAACAAATGGCGAATATTTACCTATCGTCGACACCAAGTAAATGCTTATAGACTTAAATATAAACGACTATTATTTTTGTATCCTTGAACTAAGCAAATGCTTACAGACTAATAAAACAAATGGCGAATATTTACCTATCGTCGACACCAAGTAAATGCTTATAGACTTAAATATAAACGACTATTATTTTGTATCGCGGCCCTAAGCAAATGCATACAATACAAATATATATATATAAAAGAAACTAATGTTTACTTTTACATAAAACAATAAATTGCCACAGATTCAAATAAAATCGACCAATATTTAATGTTGGGCAATCACAAATGAAGAAAAGACTTAAGGCAACATGAATGTGGTTCTACAGAAGAATGGTGAGAATGGATTAAACATGCGCGCAATGACGAAGTTTTAGAGAAAGTAGAAACAAAGAGGACAGTTATACTTAAAATTAGAAATAGACAGTTGACAGTTCTAAGGCACACGATGAGGAAAGACGGCTTGGAAAATTTGACATTCACAGGACATATTGAATATAAGCAGGACAGAGGAAAACAGTGTATAACCTACTTAACTCGCCTGTATAAATCGTTGGCAAAACAGAGAGATAGGGGAGATAACAAAAGGCAAAATTTGCTAAGGGCTGTAAAGGAGAGGAAGTTGTGGAGAGCTATGATCTCCCAAATTCTAAAGGAACATGGCGCATAGAAGAAGAAGAAGAAGAAGAAGAAGAAGAAGAAGAAATTGTCTCGGTAATGTAATTCTCATTTTTCTATATATCAATTAGAGTTTGTTTTTTTAAGCCTAAACACTTCCTTTTTTCGGTATGTTCCCAACTTCATCAGCTAGACTCTGTTGTGTTGCACGCGATCTATGGTATAGAGGTCTGTCATGCAGAAAAGTCGTGCCTTCATCCAAGTTAAATCTTTCTTCAACAACTAGATAGTCTTGCCTATCGTCCGCTTCACAATCCTTCCCGGTCTTTCAAACAGGAGCGGAGGTTTATCCCTTGTTTCCTGTTTAGGATTGGATTTCCGGTTTCTTTTAAGGTCTACTTCAAGTCTATACTTTTAATGTCTCCGTCTAAGCTCTGAAATGTTATGTACCATTTATTTTTTTATCCTTTTCATCAATGGGAGTAGATAGGTTCGCCTATTGTCCAGTTCATACTCCACACCTATCTTTTGAACAAGAATACAGCTTTATTCCTTGTTTCTTGTTTAGGATTGGTTTTCAAGTTTCTTCTAAAGTCTTCTCATTCTCTTTCATTCCTAGTAGACCCTTGCGTCTTAATGGAATTATAGCCTTGGGGTAAATTAATTAAAAAAAATGTATGTATTTAGCACTGTTCAAATGTTGTCTGTAGCCCTAAAATATAATGTTTTAGGGATATAGACAAAATTTGAACAGATAAATGCATTTTTACATTCTACTCACACGGTTTTCGTCGTGTAATGCGGGTTTTTCGCTTACAAATGTTGAATCGGAGATAAGGAAATTGAACATGGAATGAACTGTAACAGAGATAGCTTTGTTCAACAGATGATTATAAATCAAAATATTATCCAAAGAACACGAGTCATGTTCTTTAACTGCCTCGTCAGACCGAGGCTTTCGTATGGATGTCATGCATAGCATTCCAACTTGTTCAGAAATGTCTAAGGTATCAGTAATATACTATCATTTCCGTAGTTCAATAATAAAAAATAGCTTCAAGCGTAGGTATTAAGACTAAGAGCCAGTCAAGGTAGAGTGTTGTTGAAAGCAGATAACTGTTTTTTTTTGTTTTTGTTTTTTTTAATCATTTCATTCTAAGCAAGTCGGAAATACCACTCAGGGAGTGAAAGTTAGAGAAAAGACTGAGTATAGGGAGGATTGAGGAAAGGATAAAGATTAACGGATGCTGATTGACGTTGCACTTGAATCTTTGAAGATTGTAGTTATCAGGGAAGCAAGAAAACAGAAGGGAGTTCCACAAAGTGGGAAGTATGGGATAAGAAACTATTAGAGTAGAAGTGGCGGTTGCGTTTAGCTATTTCAACAACAAAAGGGTGAGACCTAGTTGCCAATCTAGTAGCACGCTTAAATTCGATGCAGCAGGTAAAAAAAGCTCGTCAGAGCAGTTGCCATGGAAA